GTGTATCTTTTTTTACAAAAGAAAAAACCAAACAAAACAAAACCAAAAAAAAAAAAAAAAAAGGACAGATACAAACTACAGTATTGCTACTTACAGGTAGATTTTGGGGAGGCCAAACCTAAAAGCTTTTCAACAACTGATTATATAATCACAAAGGTTCCTAAACTGTTATTTTTACGAGTAGAAATAAAAATATACACAAACCACAGCAGAAGCAAAATGACTAATACAGTATTTACTTTCTTGCCTCTGAAACCAAGAGTGACCGCAAGGGAAGGCTGAGGTGACTTCACTACAGAACACACAGGAACTGTGGATGTTGTGTTTCTGGGTCCTTGGGGGGGGGTCGGATTGGTGTCTATACCAAACCTAGGATTTAGACCAGGATTAAAAACTTGTGATGTAAATTGTTCTTTGATGTCTTCTATGAAGAGTGACTGGATATTTGTGCATACTAGTGGAATAAATGATAATTACATTTGCAACTTTTTGTAGTTCCCTGGCAGAACACTCCTCAGCATTAATGATGATTTAAAGAGCAGGAGACTAAGTCAGGTTACTGTAGTACCCTGCTACAAAGAACCAATGGCACTACTCTACAAACTGAGCATGCCTAAGAACGAAATCGGCTATTGTCACTTACATCTTGTATCCTTATTCTAGCCAGAGACCCACTCAAGAAAATGTATTTGCGGGTATTTGCTACACACACATTTAGACCCTGAGAAATTAATTTTAGGGACATTTCCTGAAGTGAGTCACCTGGTTTACAGACCCTTTTTTTTTTTTTCTATTTTTATTTAGATTAGAAACCAGATTGTTTTACACATCAATCCCAGTTCCCTCTCCCTCCTCTACTCCCCTGCCCCCCACTAACTCCCTATCCCATCCCCTTTGTGCTCCCCAGGGAAGGTGAGGCCGTCCATGGGGGAACTTCAAAGTCCGTCATATCATTTGGAGCAGGGCCTAGGCCTCCCCGGTGTGTCTAGGCCAAGAGAGTATCTATCTTTCTATGCGGAATGGGTAACATATAAAGGGAGAACAAACGCCAGGTTTTAACACCAGAATGTGTTCTTCCTTGAGCCCTGGTGTTATTTTAGTCCCCCAAAACTGCAGACAGATTTAAGTGGTGCCGCGCTCGATGGCCTCTTCGGGACCCACAGCATGCAAGTGCACTGCTTTTCCTCCCTGATGCCCGTCTGAATGCTATTTTCTTTCTTTTTTTTTTTTTTCTTCTTCTTCTTTTTTTTTTTTTTTTTTTTTTTTGCATTATTCCAACCCCAGATCTAAGTCAGCCCGAAACTAAGAGTAACTCACCTAAGCAAAGAGTTCTCTCCAAATCGGACTGTTTGACGAGGACTCCCGAGGCTGTCTGCCACAGCGGGGCTCCGAGGACGTCTGTCACAGTACGGCCTCAGCTCGAGGAAGGCGAGAAAGGCGCGCCAAAGCACGGTAATTAGCATAAGAGAACGACAGCTCCTATTGGCTACGCTTGTGCCGTCTGATGATGGCGGGAAAGGAGTGGCGTACTCGGCGGCGAGAGCCTTCCTGGCCAGTCGCAGCCGGTTAGAACTGATTAGAACAGGCCTTTCCTCTGCCAGGTTCCTCTTTATTCGTGAGTATTTGAACATCCCCGCGGTCGGTAGAAGACCAGATGTAGATCTGATCGTGGAGCTAAGGGGAGGAGCCAGGGTGCAAGGGTTCCCGCCTTGCCTCTACCCGGGCACACAAGGTGCCACAGGCAGGAACTTGGTCCGCGGGCGTCTTGAAGTCCTGGCTAGAGAAAAGATGGGGACCCAGGTCCTGCAAGTACATTTGCTGCAGATTCACTAATCCCTGTGGCCAGGTAAGTGAGTGAGTTCCGGGGAGGAGAGAGCCACAGCCCCTGTAGGTGGCAGCTGAAGGCTTTGAGAGTCAGGAAGAAGCTACAGGTGCCTTCAGAGAAAATTGACTTACCATGAATCTGTTTCCCAAAGGCACCCGAGTGCCTACTGCGGTTTTCGGTCCTAATGAAGATCATGGTGCCCATTCCAGAACCACAGATGGCAAATGTGCTGTTAAGCATTTGTCATGTCTCGGTATTAACTGAGACATGATATAAATATAAAAATAGACCACTATACGAAAGGGAACTTGGTATGAAAAACATGAGATATCCAAACACATGTAGTTAATATGCATTGAAATCATAAGGTTTTGCAATTGAGTTAAATAAATTATAGAACAAAGAAAGTAAGAGGAGCAGGAAGGAGGAGGCATTTCTCTTTTTTGCTCTTACCCCTGGGTGATGCACGACTGTGCTGAGTAGAAGTTAGTTTCTTCCTTCCATTTTATTTTTGGTTTTGAGATTTATGTAATTACATCATTTCTCCCCTTCCATTTACTCTTTTCAATTCCTCCCATGTACCCCACCACGACCACCTTGTCCTTTTTAAAATACATAACAAAATGTGTGTGTGTGTGTGTGTGTGTGTGTGTGTGTGTGTAAATATGTTCTGTTCAAATATCAAATAATGGTATGTATGTTTTTAGGGGTGATCATTTGGTTCTGTTCTGGCTGGATGCCAGAAATGCCAGGAGTGCACCATGGTTCTTGCTCCAGCTTCTTGTTACATTTCTTCTCCATTTATATATATAAAGGAGGTTATATTTATATAATAACCTTTAATGCAAGCCCCACTGACTGGAAGGTACACTAAGGTCATGACTGAACTAATAGGCACTTGGACGCCTTTTGGGTAGGCTGACTGGCCTGAATACCCTCTTTGGCTTACCACAGTTTCTGCCAGAAGTCCTAGGAAAGCCCGTAGACTAATTGTTTTATGGTGTCCTGTTTCCTGGGATCTCTGTGTTTTTCCCTTCTTCCTCTAATCTGATATTTCATCTTCTTTCTACAAACCATCCTCCCTTGGGCTGTGAAATTCCCTTCTTGACTTTAGAAGACACGGGCTTGGAGTGGTTCTGGTGGCTGATGATTTATCAGGCATCTTAGCTCATCAAGTTATACACCCCTGAGGTGGGACAGTCTCCCTTGCATCCAAGAGCTGCTTGTCCACCATTTCAGAATCACAGCAGAACCATGTCTCTCATTTTTCTTTTCCTCTCTCCCCACCCCTTACCTTTTCCCCAAGATTCTAGAAATTAAACTCAGGGCCTTGTACATGTGAGTTAAGAATTCTACCACTGAGCTGCAATCTCCCATCCTTTTCATTCATTGAATTCTTTTTCCTTTTTTTTATTTCTACACAAGGTCTGACTAAATTTACCAATTGAGCTATCTCTTCAGCCCCTCTATCTTCCCATTTGATCCTATACTCTAGAATTCTATCATACAGTACAAACTATGTCTCAATGGGAAATATAACATCGGAGAAGACCAGAGCTCTTCACAACAGAAAGCTTCCTTTGCTTATTACTAATTGTGGCCATAAACTTGGATCTATGACCTCACTCACCGTGAGACTATATAATCATCGTCATACGAAACAAACAGGCGAGGGAGGTACTTGGAACTACAGCTTTCAAAACCTGGACACGAAGAAGCACAGGATAGGCTCATCTGGTCCTCTACATAGAGAAGAAAAGAGCTAATTTCAAGAACTATTTCATTTACTGAACCTGTACATGGATTTCCAGCCACCTTTAGCAAGATGGATTTTTTATAGAATATTTACCTTTGTTTTCTATACATGCATGTTTCCCTGTATGTATGTTTGTGCAGCACATGTGTGTCTAGTGTCCTGGAGGAAGGCAGAAGAGGATGTTGGATCCCCTGGAAGTGGAGTTACAGATGTCTGTGAGCTGCCGTGAAAGAGCTGCAAATCACACTGCTTCTAACAAAGCTGCAAATGTTCTTAACCACTGAGCCATCTCTCCAGCTCATGTTGGATTTCTAAAATGCTGGGAATTTTGTTATATTCTTCCTCAAAATATTTTCTCAAGCCATGCAGGCAATGCTGGTCCTGGCCTTCAATTCCAGCACTCACGAGGCAGAGGCAAGTGGATCTCTGTGAATTCGAGGCCAGTCTGATCTACTGAGCAAGTTTCAAGATAGCCAAGTATACACAGAGAAACCCTGTCTCAAAAAAGTTTTTTCTCTTCCAACAATAAAGTTCTGATATGGATGCATTATGGCTTGTTTCAACTTTGAAAATTTGTCAAGAGATGAGCTTAGATAAACTTCTTTTAGATACCCAGAATCATCGCTAGGTACCAGATTCATAGTGTCTTCCAATGTGGGGTCTGTTCTGTAGTTTTCCCAAGGAGTCTGTCTCTATTCAGTTCACATAGACACAAAGAATTTAGCATGTTTACTGTCTAAAAAATTTCCCATTTCTAAGTTTTTTCCACTTTTTATTTGCATTAGAAACAAGATTGTTTTACATGTCAATCCCAGTTTCCTCTCACTTCCCTCTTCCCCTGTCACCCCCCAACTAAAATCCTACCTATCACATATCCTTTCTGTTCCCTAGGGAGGGTGAGACCTTCCATAGGGGGGCCTTAAGAGTCTGTCGTATCCTTTGGGATAGGGCCTAAGCCCATCCCCGTGTGTCTAGGCTCAGGGAGTGTCCCTCTATGTGGAATGGGCTCCCAAAGTCCATTCCTATGCTAGGGATAAGTACTGATCTACTACAAGATGAAACTTTTTTTAACTTCATATCCACTCTAGACTGTT